GAGGTAGCACCACTCCACCACTTACACTGATGATTAACAAACTGAGAATTGTATTTCCTTCACTTGTCAATTGTTTTAAATCGGCGAACCAAAGACTTTTGTTTCATGTATTCTCTCCACACGTGTCAAACTCAAGGCCCGGGGTCCAAATCAGGCCCTTGGTGGATTTAATTTCGGCCCTCAGGATAATTTTTAATTCCTATTAGATCTGGCCCTCCGGTATATTGCACGCACACCTTCACTCCATCCTGAGGGTCTCCTCAGCTCATAGCCTGAGCCCAAACATTGATGACCTTGCACCCAAGATGAGATGCCAAGTATCTGAACTAGCATCACAGAGCAGCACACTGAGTTTAATGGATGTTTCCTTTTGCACTTTCTCTCTCACGACAACAGGGCATGTTTGGTTTCTCTTTGAGGGGAATAGTTTTGTTGAAGCTGTTGTTGGCCTGTGGGAAAATGTAATCATAAGAAATGACTCTGGAGAAGCTGCAGATAGAGCCATAAGAAATTAATGCAACTGATTATTTAATGTTTCATGTTGTTTTTATAGGCAATCATTTAAGCTTTGTTAGTTCCAGGTTTAATATGTGCAATAAGTTCATTTCAATACGTTCTGCAATAAACATTGAACCAGTCCGGCCCTCTAGTACCCATTTTTTTATTTTGGCCCACTGTGTATTTGAGTTTGACCCCCCTGGTCTAAACCATCGGAGGCCAAGCAACTCTTCAACTGTAAGTAATATAAAGGAAAGAAAATGAGTTAAAATGTCTGTTTAAGGCGTCTAGTGGCTTGATAGAAAACAAGGAAGGAAGCCACCACTGTTACTTTCCACAAATGTGAATTTTTATATCTCAAAGTGAAACAATGTTGAGTTTCTTGAAGTCTTCCTCTGACTGTCTGTGCTTTGTGTTTTGTGCAGGCTTCATGGTGGGCCACTCCGGACTGTACCAAGCCATCTTCATGTTCCTGTTGATGTATTTCATCATCTGCATGACGGTGCTGTCGGTCTGCGCCATCTCCACCAACGGAGCGCTGGACGCCGGGGGGGCCTACTGTATCCTCTTTAACATTTCATCATAGTTTCATCACATGACACCATGTTACATTAAGCTGACACAATAAACCATACAAGTTACAAAACAGATCAAATTCAGAACGGCGACAACCCTGCGATTACTACACCCCGCTTCTAAAAAGACAAACTGTTTTTTAGGTGGTTGTGCATTAGTTTAAAATCAGCAAATTTTTTAAGAACTACATTTATTTATTTTTTCTATTATTTAGATTTTATTTCAATTATTTTGATAACAATTTCAAATGTTCAACTTTTTTTACTTTTCAAGTTGTAAATGTTTCTATTTAAAATGTTCCAGTTTTTTGAATTTTTTCCAGTTTCTCCAGTTTTTCAACTTTTTCAACTTTTAAATTTTTATATTTTTAAATTTTAAATTTTAAAATTTTTAAATGTTCTAATTTAAATGTTAATCTTTAATTTAAATGTTTCACATTTGAATTTTAGTTTGGTTTTCAGTCTGCGTCAGAAGATGTTGGACATTTCCTCTGTCCTGACATGTAAGCGGTTTGACATGACTACTTATCCAACCAGCCCTTTTCCTGAGCGTCTCTCAGACATGATCAGCAGAGCGATGGGTCCGGAGTTCGGAGGAAGCATCGGCATCATGTTCTTCCTGGCCAACGTGTGCGCCTGCGCCCTCTTCGTGCTGGGCCTGGTGGAGGCCATCGTCGACACCTTCGGGATGCCGGAGGGTGCGTTTCATTTGAACACCTTGAGAAAAAGCTTCCAGATCGTTTAGTATTAGTGCAGAACAAATGATAGTGTCTACATTTAAGGTCGGCAGTACCTCAGTCTGTAGGGAGTTTGTTAGGGAAGTAGAGGGTCGGCGGTTCAGACAGAGTGAGGACTGGTGCTTTCCAGAGGGGCCAGTTTGCCTCCTGGGAACTTCTGAGGTTTACTTTCTTAATTTTGAATGTTTTTTTTTAATTTGTTCTTTATTTTTTTAATATTTGAAATGTTTTCTTCATTTTTTCTTTATTTTTTTAATTGTTAATTCTTACAAATTCTTAAATTTGTTGTTTACATTTTACATTTGAGATACTGGATGTATGTAATGTCTACTTTTAAGGGTGGCTGGTCGCCGGTTCAAATCCCCGAACAGACAGAATGTATTTGGCACTTGACAATCACCTTCCCTGAATTTGAGTCAGGTGTAACTAAAGTCTGATTTAAGGGTTGTTTATATTTCATATCATTAATCAGAATCTGCAAAGTAACTAAAATAAATGTTGTGGAGTAATACCAGGTTAACCTCTGAATTGTAGTGGAGTAGAACAAAGTAGTATGCTGCTGGAACAAAAACATTTCCCAACTTGGGATCAATAAAGTATATCTTATCTTATCTTAAGATGATCGACTGCCATTTGCAAAAATGTGCCTCTGAACCTTGACAAGTGCAGGTTTCAGGCTTATCAGTGAGCAACAGGAGGGGTCACAGACATAAGACCAGCTGTTAAATAAAGCTCTTCTGACCTAAGCTGGCATGTGGTATATGAATTCACCCATTTATTAATTATGTTTTAAATTTGATAACACCACTGTGTTTCGTGGAAAGTCTGCCGTGGTTCCATTCCATTTCATTGAGCTGTTTGACGATGGATAGATAGATGGACGGATAGATGGATAGATAGATAGATAGATGGATAGATGGATAGATAGATAGATAGATAGATAGATGGATAGATAGATAGATAGATAGATAGATGGATAGATGGATAGATAGATGATAGATGGATAGATAGATAGATAGATGGATAGATGGATAGATAGATAGATAGATGGATAGATGGATAGATAGATAGATAGATAGATAGATAGATAGATGGATAGATGGATAGATGGATAGATAGATAGATAGATAGATAGATGGATAGATAGATAGATAGATGGATAGATGGATAGATGGATAGATGGATAGATAGATAGATAGATAGATAGATAGATGGATAGATGGATAGATAGCTAGATAGATAGATAGATAGATAGATAGATGGATAGATGGATAGATGGATAGATAGATAGATAGATAGATAGATAGATAGATAGATGGATAGATGGATGGATAGATAGATAGATGGATAGATGGATAGATAGATGGATAGATGGATAGATAGATAGATAGATGGATAGATGGATAGATAGATAGTATAGATGGATAGATAGATAGATAGATGGATAGATGGATAGATAGATAGATGGATAGATGGATAGATAGATAGATAGATGGATAGATGGATAGATAGATGGATAGATGGATAGATAGATAGATAGATATATATAGATGGATAGATAGATAGATGGATAG